TTAGGACTAGTAGGCAAACTACTGCCAACAGAGGAATGGGAAGGCTGGAAATCTGTCATATGAGACAGGTATCAAGGCAAAGAAGAAAACCCCACTACAGTGGAATAAAAGGGTCTTTTTATGTGGCTTCGAGAGCATAACTGAAAATACACAATACCCTTTAAATACCATGATTGGAGCAAGCCTTAGAGCTGTAGGTGGGGGTACGGGACAGTGTGATTTTTAGAACTTTTAGCTATAGCGCAAATTGGCAGCGCATATTTGGCTGTGGAATTGATTTCTTTGTTGTACAATTAGTTTGAATTGCATATAGCAGCATAGCAATCTCATTCATTTTGGTGGGGGGAAAAATGATAATTTTCAGGTAGTTTTAGGAGTGATACACACTTTTTCATCAAACAGTAATAGGCCCATATTGCTTAGTAAAAAGAAATTAGCCAGTAGTTCACTGAGGCTGTCCATGTCCGCGCTAATGCAAAGCTACCCTGCCACTCTCCCGGCAAAGCAGTGTAAAATTAGCCTCAACATGACATTCCAGTAGTTTTCCAATGCATCATATAAAACATAGAAGCTTCCAGGAAGGGAACTTTTGCCAAATATTGCCATAAATTATTTTTTTCGACTATACGTAAGAGTATTCACAACTCAGTGAGAAAGAATTCTGGCTTTTATGAGGTGCTTTTCAGACAGCCAATTTTCAGGTTTGTACCCATGGATGTAGAAATGGACTAGGTATGGTCTCTCCAGAACCAAGGAAGTGCACTGGCTAGGGAGAGTAAAATGGAGAATCAAGATCTCTTCAGCTAGAATGGCATTAGAACCATATCTGTGCTCTCTAGGGAGAATTTCAAGATGACCTGAAGAAGGCGGCTGACAAGGTGAAAAGCTTAACAGCCTGAACATCCACAAATTGGTGAGAGAGTCTATGCTTAATGCCTAATCTCTTGAGCTGATAGAAAAGAAAAGCATTCTCTTTTGCAAAAAAGTATATTTGGGAATAACACCACATTCTCGTAATTGCTGCATTTGCCTTCAGATTCACGGACCATTTTGTCTCCTGCATCTCTGAATGCCCTTAAAAAAGTATGCCAAGTCTAACAGTTGGCTTCAATGGCAAGAACATCTATATAAATATTGATCCAATTTTAGCAGTTATTAGCAGAGCTGCTGACTGTACTGCCTAATATACAGTGAGAATTTACAAATATGACAAGCAGGAGTAGCCTGAAGACACTCAATATAATTTGTAATATACTACTTAATTGGCTGCTTATATTGGTTCCAAGACAGAAATATGTTCACCCTGGGAAAGCGTATTTACATGGTTATTTTTGTGGTATTCTTCTTCTTAATTCCTGCTAGGGTTGGTTACACCTACACATTATTTAAGCTTATTAAATCAAAGTAGTAAGTAGCATATTTCCATAGATGGCTTATGTTTTATCTACAGGAGTTGTGTACATACATTTCATACTGATGTTTGATAGATATACTGCATCCTTTCCATACATTTTATATAGCTTTTTGGTAGATATAATTGTTCCATATATATCATGCATTATATTACATGTTTGTTTCTGGATATGGATACTTTTTAGCATTGCATTTACCCATATGTCATGCTGGCCCTACAGACCTAGAAAGAAAATGCAGCAGGTGAAGTTAGAACTTATAGTTTGTTTACTTGGGTCAAAGGAACTGAAAGCCACAGGGTCAGCATGAATACCAGCATTTTTTTTAGGAAATGTTTCCATCTATTTGTTTTATTTTTAATCCCTTTGTTAATTGATAAAGAAAACATTTGTGGGATTCCCCCGAATTTGTAAAAAGCTTACCTTTTGATTTTCAGAGTCGCTGTACACTAAACCAAAATAATCTTTTTCCAGCAGGTTTAAATGCTCACATACTTTATCAAAGAGGATTTGGCCTTTAAAACGTTTCTGCAAAGAAAAAGAAAATAGTTTTTAACGTGTAACATGCTTGTTACATTCTTGAAACGCACATTTAAATTAATTCTGCTTATGGTGCAGTCCCCCAACCTGCAAATTAAAAAAGTGCTAAAAAAATGGAAGAGAAATATAAAAAATGTTCAGCCTACACCCTAAGGCTCCATTCACAGACATGCGCTTAAGATTCTGGCGCCAAACAGGCTATTTAGGCTGTGGCTCCCTGATTCTCTGTGCTGAGTGATCGTCCGCTTCCTGCTACCGAGATTCTGCATCCTGACACTGACCTGGCTTTACCTGGCCATTCTACTGATCTTCTGTTATCCCTGACCACGAGTTGTTCCTGACTCCGCTCTTTGCCTTCTTTTCCTGTATTGCGTTATCCACAGGGCTCTGACCTAGGCCTGTTCCTTGACCACGATCTTGCCTGCTACCTCATCGCACACACGGTTTGACTAGGCTTGCACCTGACCTTGATCCAGCCTGAACTGCTTCCCTGATGTGCATCTCCTGCATTGTCTTCAACCAGAAGGCTGTCATCAGAATCAGCACTTCAGCCTGCAGTCTTCCAGCACTCTGAGCCCTGACTCTCCTGTTCTAGTATTCAGAGGTTTGGGGACCAGAGTTGCAAGAGAGGCCTCCCTTGTCACTTCAATCTCCAAAAGGTACATGACACCAGCACTGTGCAGGAGCACATATGCGTGTTATTTTGGATCCCCGGCTCTTCGGGCACAGTGCAAGAAGGTCCACAGATGTCACCCTCATTTAGGCCCACATGCAAGGAGGCAAGAGGAGTATTTTTTACACTTTTCTTTTTAAAAAATCATTCTAAAATATGTTGGGGTTTTTTTGGGAGGGGGGGGGTAGAAAGCTCCAAGAAGTTGTCTCAATGTGTTAGAGTTTTGGAATTGATGTAGGCAGTTAGAAAGCACACTTGCTCATCACTCAAGCAAAATGTGTTGATACACATCAAGATATAGCTTGAACCTTTTAATGACTTTAAGTCAGTCATTAAGAAAGATCAGCTCCAGGGAGTCCATAGGAAATACTGGTTCCCCTGCCTGCTTTGTTTTGCTTGTTTTAGGCACAGCTTCCAAAATTCAGATCTTCTTTATAATTATAAATAAAAGCAAGTCTTCAACAGGATGAATTCATCTTTAACACCCTCTATGTACTGTACCTATGTAGAAGTATTTTACATACAGTATGTGGTAGGGATGCACCAATACCGATACTAGTATCGGTGCCGATACCAAGTATTTGGGCGAGTACTCATACTTGCCCAAATGCTCCAATGCTTACCCAGGTAACGGAACTTCCGGTACAGAGGGGGATTTCCTCTGACCAGCCATGCCACGAGGGAACATGGAGCCAGCTTCCTGATTGGCCGGCTCAATGCTAATTGGCCAGTCAGGATGGAGCCGGCTTCATGGGCAATCCTGATCGCCCAGGATGTCAGCTCCATGCTAGCGGAAGTACCGGTACTTGGTATCAGCGAGTACCGAAAGATAAATATCGGTACTTGTACTTGAAAAAACAGTATGGGTGCATCCCTAGTATGAGGCTGTTATTCGTTTTTGATAGCTGGGTTGATATTCCACATGCACGCACACACACGTATGAACAACATGTATGTATTGATACACACACATACTTATATACCTAATTTGCCTTTAGACATCATATATTTCACTATTAAATGTGTATGAAAGCTCTTCAAAACACATAACATTTATTTAAAATTATATATCTTGGCTTCAGCAGGAAGGAACATGGCTCAAAAGCAGGAATAAAAAGAAAACTGCTAGTTGTTGATTGAAGACTAAAATTTGCCCTGTTATTCCTGAGAGGAAAATATATGTAGGCAATTTTCTTTCACTCAAGTGAGCTATGTGTTTTGTACACACCTCTCAGCACTGAACAAACAAAAGCACGGTTCTGCACTTGAAAGCAATCAAGAAGATGTTTCCGGTGCAATTTAACCCTCACAATCAGTACCTTCAGGTGGGCAAGCTAGATGACTACTAAATGTATTACCTGAGACAGCAAGGAGCCACAGTCAAGTAACTACAGCTGTTTGGAGCAGCGGTCTCAAAATACCAGCCTGTGGGCCAACTCCGGCCCGCGAGCTGGTAAAAGTGGCCCGCAGCCAGCTGACAAGTCGAGCACACGGTCACGGACCGGGTGCCCGACTTGCGGGAGCAGCTCCACGGTCTACATTTCCGACGGCTGCAGACCGCAAAGCTGCTCCTGTCGGCTCCGGACGGAACTCTGTCAGTTCCGAGCTCCGGCCGAATGATGGATCATTAGTAAGGTCTAGTGCAGACCTTACTAATGATCACCGCTAGATCACCAGGGCATGACGAGACGATGTGCCTCCTCTCTGCACGGATGAAAGCAGGTGAGGGGGCTCGGAAGAAAAAGGAGGGAGGGGACTTTATTAATATGTGTGCTGGGGGCTTGGGAGGGGGGAAGTTTTTTATTATTATTATATGTGCTGGGGGGGCAGTGTATTAAGTGTGTGGGGGGCTTGGAAGGGGGGGCGAAGTGTATTATGTGTGTGTGGGGGGCAGTGTATTAAATGTGTGTGGGGGGCTTAGAAGGGGGGGTGAAGTGTATTTTATTTGTGCAGGGGGGTGTATTAGTGTGTGGGGGGGCTTGCATTTTTCTGTGTGTATATTAGGCCCCTATATATTTCAGGTATGGCTGTAGATAAAACTTTAACTTTAGTGCAGAACGAGAAATAGTGATTTTATTTTCTTTAACTATTATGATTGGACTAATTGATACATTTTCAAGAACCTGAGTAATCTTTCCAATTGTTTTTGGAGTTCAGTGGTAATCAGTAATTATGGTGCACACATTTTAACAAATATTAAAACCCACTAACAAACCATAACTAATCAGAAATTAGTAGTGGTTTTAGGTATCCCAGGGAGTCGATGTAGAGTTTACCAGCTCTGTACATCTCATGCAGTCACTACAAGGAGGTCCCATTCTCCCTGTTGGGGTTTTTAATTTATAGTGAATGCAGAGGAATGGGAACATCTTAACGTAGTTAAGAGTGACCAATGCTCCAAAGTGGTTCGAAATAGTGCCAGGAAAGAACGTGGAGATATCTCATCCACAAGATATATAAAAAGCTAGCTGCCCCCCCCCCCCCCCCCCCCCCTCACCATGA